TTATATTTTATTTATTGATTCACCTTCAATATTAATCCATAATAACCCCAAAGGTAAATAACGTGAGTTATAACAAGGTCCCTTCAAAATCACCAAGCCAGTTACAGAACTCTAGATAAAGTGATTAAAAAAAAAGACAGAAAATTGTGTGGTCCAAGATAAACTAATTTTATAACAAGTTCTACACTATGGTGGTCTGTGTTATAGTTTATACATCGACATCTGTCAGAAATGTAACTACAGGAAATTGAATCCTAAGTATTCTTACATGACCCCTAAATCTTTGTAAAGTGGTAGGATGGGAAGGAGCACTCGACCTTCGAACACCATCAGCATATATATGCGTATACAAGAGCAAGGAAATGCTTTAAGTAAAAAATGATTGTTAAACTGTATGGGTAAAAAAAAAGGACTGTCTCACAATATTTCATTTTCTTAGGGTTGTGATGTTGAAGAAACTTCTACTGGCTTCTTTCCAACTTCAAGTTGCCCACCACCACCCCCACCTCCTCCTCCTCCACCTGAAGCTAGCGTACTCACTGGTGGTGGCCAGTCGATGGAAGATAGTAGAGCCGCGTTATTTAGAGAGATTAATCAGGGAGAAAATATAAAGTTTTACAATATGGATCCCTTGGAATGAGTTATAGCGGGATCCCAGTGTATATTAATTAATTTTACATTTTGTTATAACAATCAGTGTAAAGAACAGACCCATGAGATGATGAGAAATTAATTATTTTCTATATAAAATACATACAAAACCTTAACAGTAATTAGGGAGATTAACTGGAAAATTGGTAATTTTGTTTAATCGTACAAGTTGTCTAAAAATCCATTTCCTGGGTGTACTTTATTGTATTAACTGTATAATTATTGATGGGGTACAGAATCCATCAGCATTTTAAATACATTTTTCTAAAATTATTTATGTACTTATGGGTTTATGACATCGTCTATTATCACATACAAATCGTACATAGAAGTATTAAAAACATATTACCAATTTTCCAGTTAATCTCCCTAATTACTGTTAAGGTTTTGTATGTATTTTATATAGAAAATAATTAATTTCTCATCATCTCATGGGACTGTTCTTTACACTGTTATAACAAAAACATATATATAATATAGACAGATCCATCTTAAAACAGATATTAACATGTATTGTTGGCTACTTAGTAACATCTACACCACAGATGCATTGTTGCCTACTTAGTAACATCTACACGACAGATGTATTGTTGCTTACTTAGTAACATCTACACGACAGATGTATTGTTGCCTACTTAGTAACATCTACACCACAGATGTATTGTTGCCTACTTAGTAACATCTACACCACAGATGTATTGTTGCCTACTTAGTAACATCTACACCACAGATGTATTGTTGCCTACTTAGTAACATCTACACGACAGATGTATTGTTACCTACTGTTAAGAATCTGTAAGAATGTTCTTTAATATTTACTAACACGTGTCTCATACTACCGATGCTGTCTTCACATTTCAATCTCTTATCCATCACCATCTGTATAGAAGCCTTCTGACACAACCATTCAACACTTATAGACATATAAGAATCTTCCCAATATTCTAAAACATCTGTCTGGAAAAATAGCACATATAATTATAATTACTTTTAGAAAAGAATCTCATTTAGTTAATAAATTTAACCCTTTCGCTACAGCTCGATGGATTGCTCTCACCTTATAACCCAAAGTGGCCAGTTACAACTTTTAACCTGTTTTGTGTATCTTCATGAAATTTGGCAAGCTTTCAGAAAATATTCTGTACATAAAAAATATTATTTTTTTAATAAAGTAGTTTTTACTTAAAACTTGTAAGTGAATGTATGGAGTCAGTGTTCATGTTACGGTGTTCTACACCTGAAAATTGTCGAATTTAATTTGCATAATCTCTAAAATCTCCTAAATAAATATCAAACTTTTTTCAGTAAAACTTCATATTTTATCTGTTCTTTTATGTACTGTAACTCTACGTGCATTTGATAAATTTGACCAACCTCGTAGCCACCACGAAAAAAATAAGAATTAAATTTATTTTAACGTTTTTCTTTCTAGAATGACCGTGAAGATGTAACAGGAGTTGTTTGTCCTAAATAGCTTAAACATAAACTCAAAAGTCTTAAGTAGTAAAATTACTCTTATTTAAAGGAATACATACATTATTTTATACAATATTTTATAAGTGTTTTTTTAAATAATCTTACTTACTTAAAGCTTTAGTTTTGAACTAAATCAGTGGTTTGTTACTAACACCCTAGGAATAAGCTTAGCACGACAACACTGAAACTATATACACCACAAGGTGACATTTGATAATTTAACGATAATGAATATACTTACAGAAGAGTTCCAGGTGAGGCCAGTGAGATGATATTTTTTAACATAGGCCTGCAACTCATTTAAAAACTGCAGCCAGTTACGAGCCCAGTCAACGTGAATCTTATCCCTACACCAAGAAATAAGTAATAAAATTATTTGACGTACAAGTATTCTATTATGTTAGGGAAAAGTGTTTCATGTCTGTCAATTTATCCAAAAAGTAAATTCCATGACCACAACAAAATCTTTTAACAGACTATAAATATTTTAAACAAACAATGACTGAATCAGATTTTATATTTCAATGCCACTTCATACATTGAATGTGATTCCACATCTCTACAAACTCCTATGAAAAACCTAGTGTCTGTTACTTTTTTATACTTCAAACTTCATTGAGATCTAAACAAGCCTAAATCAAAACAAATTTAAAAGTTTGAACAAGATGTCTCATAAAGAAACATATACACAATAATCATAAAAAAAGGGGGGTCTTATTAATCTTTGATAGCTGTTAGTTAAATAGTTTTTTTTTTATGAATTGTCTCTCTGGATATTCCCGTATTACTTTTTCTATGCAAGTCTGAGTATTGTGACATTAATTTTCATGTTTCAGAATAATTGGCATGGACTGGAATATCTTAAACATTTTGATAATAAAATAATTTTTAACTTTAGGGAAGTAAATATTCTTTATACTGAAATTACAACTTTATAGGTTTCCACCTCTATCAACGGTTACAGATGTCGACGAGGTTTGGCTATAACAATTCGTTGTTTTTGTGTTTCTTTCTCTTAGTTATAGCCAAGTATCATCACTAGCTTTAACCACTGATATATCAGGATATCTACTTGAGATAAGATGTATGTTTTATTGATATCCTGATATATCAGTGGTTAAAGCTAGCATCTACTTGAGATAAGATGTATGTTTTATTGATATCCTGATATATCAGTGGTTAAAGCTAGTGATGATACTTGAGATAAGATGTATGTTTTAATGATGACAGTCATTTTATTTACAACACATTATTTATTTTTATATCAAAGAAGTGCTTTGTGCTCTAACGCAGCACTTGTAAAAATGACCAATAACACGGTTCAAAGTTCCTGTGTTCAAAGAAAAACATCAGTCTACCTTCATCATATAAAGCAATCAAAAAAAGGTTGGATTGGATTGTTTGGAATTTCGTGCGAAGCTACACGAGGGATATCTACACTAGCCGTCCCTAATCTAGCAGTGAAAGAATTGAGGGAAGGCAGCTAGTCATCACCACCCACTGCTAACTCTTGGGCTACTCTTACCAACAAATAGTGGGATTGACTGTCACATTATAATGCCACAACGACTGAAAGGGTGAGCATGTTTTGTGGGATGGGGATTTGAACCCACAATCAGGCCCCCCAAAAGAGGTAGTTGTTTCTGTGAATCCTCACAATATCTGAAGAAGTTAGTAAGAAACAAATGTCTTGAAGTATAAAAATGGTGGATTCCATTAGATAAATGGATTTTTAAAACTTTCAATGATGTTTTAACAAACTTCACAACTTCCAAAACTTGCAGGGGTCCTATATTCCAGTTATGAAAAATTCAGAAATATCTTGCACTTTCACTTACAGAACAGAAAGTATGAGTATCTGAAGTTTTCCTCACAAATATTTTCAGAAAAAAACTGAGTGTCAATTTTTGACCTTTACTTACTAATTTACTATATTGCCTATCTTATCAGCTGAGCTACTTATATCACCAACTGACAAAAGTAACTGTCGAGCATTTCAGTCATGCCAAGAGCCACTTAACAATAACGTGTGTTAAGTTTACATATTTTATTCTTTAAGTTACTTCACATCTTGAAATGTGGACGATAGTATGATTAATTCCTGACAATTTAGTGTTGAATATCCTGCTTGTGAAACAAAACTTGGCATCAACATTATTCACGCCTGTTCTCCCATCATTTCAAAAGTGAATGTTGAGCTTTGCTTGCGTTTGCAGCTTTTCAAGTGCGGAGCAGGAAGCAGCCGTTGTAAACTGGAGACAGATGAACGTATGGTCAGACATCATGGTTCGCAATAAGATAAAACAAAATTAATAGTAATAATTCTTGACAGAATGAAAACATGGTTTTCTGTATATTCACAATATAGCAACAACAGATGTGTTTGTTTGTTTGTTTTTGAAGTTTGTGCAAAGCTACACGAGGGCTATCTGTGGTAGCCATCCCTAATTTAGCAGTGTAAGACTAGAGGGAAGGCAGCTAGTCATCACCACCCACTGCTAACTCTTGGGCTACTCTTACCAACGAATAGGGGGATTGACAATCACATTATAATGCCACAACGGCTAAAAGGGCGAGCATGTTTGGTGGGACGGGGAAACGAACCCGCGACTCTCATATTGCGAGTCGAGCTCCCCAACCACCTGGCCATGCCGGGCCCAACAGATGTGTGGTAATACTCAAAACTTATTGGCTGACTTACAGTACAGCACATTTTGTTAACACAGATTACTTTAACTACCGATCAAGTACAGTTAACACACACACACACACTGGTTAGCTACTGGCCAGGTATAGTTGTCAAGCCAACTAATTCCTCATGCTCTATAAACACCGATCAACATGACTTACTTGTCTTTGTAATCCATCAATACTCTATTAGTGTAAAACTGACCAGCATCCAGCATTTCTTTCACATAAGGTGCTGGGGTTGGGGCCTAGAAGAAACACGTAGAGTTAAAATAATTATCAAGCCTAGTATTAGTCATCTAATGTCAGAATACTACATACAGATTTATTTACTATAATAAAAACAAAAACTTACCACTGCTACCCAACCGAGAGCTGGAATAGACTCACTCACAGCAGACAAGTGGTTAAAGTAAGCACTAGCTCGATTCTTCTGTCGAAATTCCTGAATAAATGTCACGATTTGGAGAAAAAATGAAATTATTTGACAATGCATATCAAAAATATATTATCATGAACAGTTCAGGATGGTAAAAATTCCCAAGTTGACGATCTTAAAGAAACATTATCCAGTGGACCTTTAGGTCCGTGAGTGTATAGGTAATAAGTGGAATATAATAATTGTTAGGCTCATTAATCAACTGTATTCAACTAATCTTTTAAACTCAGCTGAGACCTGGATGGTTTGAATAATTGATTATTTTATTTGACATTAATTGATGTAATCAATGCTCTTAGCTTATTGATGTAATCAATGCTCTTAGCTTATTGATTATACTGATTAACAGAATTAATCACCCAGCTCTATATACAAGTAGACAGGTTTACAGAACATACATTTAAACACACATCCTCTCATTATCCAAGTGTTATAGTTGTCCACTTTTTAACGCAGGTTAGACAAGTTACATACAAGAATATAAACAAAACTACAGAAAACAAATTCATCATAACAAACCAGTTTGGTTTACTCAGAAAAATGAATAAAAATAAATATTTAAAACCATTTTGTTCATGTCTGACATCAAGGAAGGTAAACAGAGGTTATTTACTAACATGTTTATATCAAACATTCAAATTGTGGAAGTATTTAAAGGCTAAAGACTTATGAAAATCCTTGCATGTGACACTGTCACTCTTCTGGATTGGCCATTATATCAAGATTAAACATGTTTATATCAAACATTCAAGTTGTGGAAGTATTTAAAGGCTAAAGACTTATGAAAAATCCTTGCATGTGACACTGTCACTCTTCTGGATTGGCCATTATATCAAGATTAGATTTGTAAAAATCCTTGCATGTGACATTGTCACTCTTCTGGATTGGCCATTATATCAAGATTAAATTTGTAAAAATCCTTGCATGTGACATTGTCACTCTTCTGGATTGACCATTATATCAAGATTAAATTTGTAAAAATCCTTGCATGTGACACTGTCACTCTTCTGGATTGACCATTATATCAAGATTAAATTTGTAAAAATCCTTGCATGTGACATTGTCACTCTTCTGGATTGGCCATTATATCAAGATTAAATTTGTAAAAATCCTTGCATGTGACACTGTCACTCTTCTGGATTGACCATTATATCAAGATTAAATTTGTTCATGTCTGACATCAAGGAAGGTAAACAGAGGTTATTTACTAACATGTTTATATCAAACATTCAAATTGTGGAAGTATTTAAAGGCTAAAGACTTATGAAAATCCTTGCATGTGACACTGTCACTCTTCTGGATTGACCATTATATCAAGATTAAATTTATTCATGTCTGACATCAAGGAAGGTAAACAGAGGTTATTTACTAACATGTTTATATCAAACATTCAAGTTGTGGAAGTATTTAAAGGATAAAGACTTATGAAAAATCCTTGCATGTGACACTGTCACTCTTCTGGATTGGCCATTATATCATCTAAATCTAAGGGGGGAAAACTTACAAGAGAAAGTTGAGGACAAATGTTTAGAGGTTTTTGAAACAGATTCTTGGTACATTTCTCCTGGATTGGCCATTATATCAAGGCTATCTCTGCTTGTAACATTTTTATTCGAAATGTAGGTAAAGCATAGATGTGTGTTGAAAAACAGGTTGTTGTTCATGCGAGACTTGTATATTTAAAATATTCAGGGGATAAAGCTATATGTAAAACATGCAGAAACCACCTGAAGTCATGTAGCTACAAGAGAAGGGAACACTTTTCTGAACAAAATCCACACTAATGTTACAGTGTGAGCATCAAAGTCATTATGCACAGGGTGGATTAGGTTTGGTGAAAATCATTTTATTAAAGATTTTTTTATTTAGTTGCACCTATCATGATCAATAACCTTAAAATTAAAAAATACTGAGACTATTTATACTGAAAAAAATATTTTATCACATAGATAGTAACAACTTTGTACATTTTTCCTGAAGCTTATTTACTGATAATGTTTCTACCTGCTAGTACAAGACATCACCAGAGTTGAGGTAAAACAGATCAAGGCATCACCAGATATGAGGTAAAACAGATCAAGACATCACCAGATTTGGGTTAAACAGATCAAGGCATCACCAGATCTGAGGTAAAACAGATCAAGGCATCACCAGATCTGAGGTAAAACAGATCAAGGCATCACCAGATCTGAGGTAAAACAGATCAAGGCATCACCAGATCTGAGGTAAAACAGATCAAGGCATCACCAGATTTGGGTTAAACAGATCAAGACATCACCAGATTTGCAGTAACAGATCAAGACATCATTATTCACAGTTAATTTCCCCTTTATGAGATCTTGCGAGTTCTCTATAACTCTTGGCCAACGTGAATGCCAGTTTCATATTTCACCCCCTCGGACAAAGATTGTGACAGCATTGCCCCATTTTAACATGGATAAATTAGTAAAAGAACAACAAAGATAAGTTTTATGAATAGAGTACGATAAAAGCTATCTGTTCATGTTACTTTTAAAGCCTTAGATGGTTTTCTATTGCACCATTTCTTTTAACAAAGTCACATAGTACATGATGTCATCAGGTGTACCACAGTATATGTACAAAAACAGGCTTTCAGGTCACTGGTTACGTAGGTCATGCATAATGGCATAGTAAATAACTATGTTATGTAGTGGCTTTATTGTACTATGGATCATAAATTTACCTAAAAATCAAATTTACATCTTAAAAAGGTCCCACAGTTATCATGCCATATGATGACTTACAAGTTGTTAATTTTTGTTAATGCAAAAACATAGGCGGTCAGGGTTAACACACTCTTAGTATACATTTATAAATAATAGACTCACCTGGATAGCCTGAATTTGATCCGATGTTGGTTTCAAGAGAGACATGAGAACATTCTGTGAGTAAGAAAAACAAGATTCAATACTTAAAAGTTATTTCGCATAAGAAAATAAATATTACAGGTATATACTACGCCCATAACTGAAGTAGTCAAAACTGAATCAATGCTTATGTACTGTTAAACAATCAAGTCATATTATCAGAAAAATTACACTGGTCTTTCACAGTAGAAGTTGTCAATTGCCACTCTTCTGTAGTTTGTTTGAGCTATGAGTTGTACTAGCCCAAAATGATACAAGAACATGTGTATCAGTTTGTTTGAGCTACGAGTTGTATTAGCCCAAAATGATACAAGAACATGTGTATCATAGTTTGTTTGAGCTACGAGTTGTATTAGCCCAAAATGATACAAGAACATGTGTATCATAGTTTGTTTGAGCTATGAGCTGTATTAGCCCAAAATGATACAAGAACATGTGTATCAGATTAAGGAATAATTTCCCACCACAAACACACAGAAATTTATCTGAATTGATTTTAGGAATTTTTAAATAAAAAAACATCTAGTCTATTACTAAAAAAATAATTAAACAAGATAACAACTTCCAAACCATGACACACATTTTAAACTTGACTTATTGGAGCTTCTCGGGCATTCACATTAGATATAATTTAAAACAAAAACATGACCAATACCTCAGTAGGTTGCCGACATTTAGAAACAGTGATAAGGAACTGTCTTTGAGCTCTTACGGCGGTTTCTACCATATCAGCCTGAAAAAATAAATAAAATACATGTCACATAAAATCTAATAAAACCAGAACATGTAACAAAACGTTTTATGACAGAATATACTCTGCAGTGAATTTTGACTTGTACTAAAAAGAAAGTAGTATACCCACGATGCTTACGTTTTAAATCTTACACTGACCATGAAACCCCAAAGTAACTACAAGAGTATCTTCACAAAATCGGACAAGCTTCTAGCAAGCATTACAAGTCTTTTGTACACAAAACATCAGATTTTTGAATTAAAAATTTTTAATAAAGATTTATCTGTGAATATATGGAGTGAAAATTCATCTGAAAATTTCATGTGTAACCTCCAAAATCTCCTAAATAAATATCAAACGTTTTTTGTCAGTTAAACTTCATACTTAATCTGTTATTTTTTCTACCCTAACTTTATATGGACTCATCCAATTTGACTAACCTTGTAACCAGCATAAAAAAAAAAAAAAAAATGAAATAAATCAAAATTACCCTTTCCTTCTTTCTAGAGTAGCTGCAGATTGTAACAGGAAACTACATTGTTTATCCTAAATAGCTTAAACCTAATAACAGTATACATCTGTATATACTTAATTTTATTGACCTTTCAACCATGTCCAACTCATAATTCTGTCATACAAGATGTGAATCACTTAGTGAATGCATAGCTCATCTTACCGTATCAAATGACGATTAAGAAAGAGTCGCTACGATACATACCTATCGAAGAATTATTACTACTATTAATTATCCTACATAATCTAACCTAACAAGTTTTTAATTTTATAAATTCTAGTTACTTTTATAACAATAAATATAAATGAAAAGAAGAAATATAGTAGTTACTTTAAGTCTATCGTTGTTTACTTTTGGTTGCCAATGAAGTTCAAGCCAACTTTTTTTTTTAAATTAGTGACTGTATTAGTTAATTTACTTAAGTATTGCACCTAAGAACATGGAACAATAACACACACAAAGCAGTCAATGTCCTATAACTATTATAATTTAACTGGCTTTCTAACTACCCAGGTTTCTTGATCTGAACACCACAAGAGAAACATTCAAACTGAAAATGAAATAGACAATGCACTGTATTGAAAACAATGTAATACAATACATCATCTGACAGATTAAAAGTTTGTCTTTTTATTGGTTTTCAATGAAATAAAACAGAGACTCATTGACAATTTGTGAAAGGCAGTGGGTATGACTTTTTAATTTATGTCTCCATAAAGAAATAAGATTTATGGCTATAAAGATTATAATTTGCCTTAGTAATATCTGTATTCTAATGGGTAAGTTATGTTAAATTCTGTACTTTAGAGAGGGGTGGTAAAAAAATAGAGAAGAGAGAAGACCTATGGAACAAATGTCAGTTCTCAAACTAGGGGAGATTGAGGATATTCTAAAGTATTTCCTTATAAAATTAAGAACTAAAAACTTATGTAATATTAAAATTTGATTTATTAGCTATGTTTTGTTGCCAAATGTATTCATATACATTGATAATAAATTAGTTGAATTAAATTTTGAATGTAATTCTGTAAAAGGTTGTGACATGCGCACTTTAACCTAACCGTAGCATGACATGTAGTGTATTTTCACTTGAAAGGAAAGTTGTATAGACATGATTTTTACATAACTACTGGAAAGTTACAATTTCTGTACATCAGATATAAAATAGGGCAAGAGCCACTTAACACTTTTACTTGTTTATTGATATAATGGGACAAAGCTACACAAGGGTTATCTACGATAGCCATCCCTGAATTTGAACTGATAGATTAGAGAGAAGGCAGATAGTCAACAGCACCCACTGTCAATTCTTGTCTAACTGAACATCCCTCTTTAAGTGCACCCATGGCCCCCAAAATGTGGGGTGTATTTTTGTGATGTTAGTTGCAAATCAGATTTGCTTACCATTAGGCCAGAAGCAGCCCCAAACATTTTTAACTGGAAGCAAAAACAAAATCAACTTAATGTAGGCCTCGACAAGTCCTAGGCACCAGGTCACCATGGCGACTAAACATTTCACCGTAGCACCTAGTATTTTCTCTCATTTTATTCATGCATAGGGCTGTGATAAATATAACTCAAAGCTAGAACAGTTCTGGACTCTTGGAAGTTAGGAACTATTTAGGTAATCGAGTCCTAAATCAAACTTTGTTTCTACTTTAGTGGTGGGTTCAGCACTTCATGAGTTTTTAGGAATTACGTGCTGTGGTTGAAACAACATGTTACTAATTTTGTGTCATTTTGTTTTTCTTCTTTTTCTCAATTCAACCAATCAGTGCGTGTGTTTAGATTCGTATGGGACCAAAGGCAGTTAGTTCAGGCAATACCATCAAGTGGTTGTTGATATCATGCTATCGTTAGCATGCACATGTTGCTGTGAAAGTAAATAAATATATACTAATGTGTTGATTATTCATGCTGGTCTGGGAAAAGCAAATCAGAAACAGCAGAAAATCGAAGCATTAGTGTATCTCACTAGTTTAAATGTGTATCATTAGTGTATCTCACTAGTTAGCCCAATGTTTAAAATTACTGTCATTTACTCACATTATCATAAAAAATTATAAAAGTCGTCACAGTCATCGTAATAATAAAAGCCCAGTGAGTTACACGTGCCCAATTACACTTTTTTCTCCTATAATACTTCCTCTCCTTCCTATTTTAATTTAATTGCTAACATAGGCATAAATAGCACCTATAAACATAGAAGTGCATTTGCACCCTATCAACAATTATGAAAAATAAGTAAAAAGTTAGCACAAATCTATGCTTGTGAATTCTTACAAAAAAACCTTTGTTACAACAGACTGAACATTCTAATTATCTGCAAGAAAGAGGACAATGTGTAACTGGGCGACTGTATGTCTATACATTTGGCATCAAAAAGTAGTTTTAATTCAATTCAAGTTTATATAACCCAAGTTTTGATTTCCTTCACTTCTCTGTATCACACTGAATTACTCACTTTAGGTACTCTTTCCACCCATATTTGATCTTCATGAGTTTTACACACATTTTAAAACAAACTGTCAATAAGTCTCTTTGACCTTTGCTATTGGATAGTTTTTTACCAACAGAGAGAAAATATTTTAATTCACTGAAATTCTTATAAGGCTAGCTATTCTGATGACAGTATCAATCTTGGCTATCACCGAGTCACCTCAACCAGTCGATTTAAAACCACTTGTAGCTTAATTAGAAAGCCAATTAAATTATAATAGTTATAGGACATTGTGCACATTATCATTTTGTGTTCTAAGTTGCATATTGGAAATAAACAGGAAATCAGTAGCATACTAACAACAACCCTAACAGAAAGAAGGGTTAACTTTTATTTAAACTCTGATTGCAAAAAAAAACCCAAGGCTCACTAAATTTTAAAAAAATATATTTTTTACTAATTACTCTAAAATACCTAAAATGTGAAAATTAAAAATTTATTAGGTTACATAAAAGAAACTTAAAAAAATAAATTTGATAGAATATGCACATCTAGGAAGCACAGCGTGTTGTAATTTGACTGTTGTGCCGATAACTTGCTCTCACCATATTCCGAGTACAGCTGTAAAACAATAAATCTAAATGACTGGGATATCTGAAGAATATCGACTTTGATTGTAAGAATAAATGGCCAATTACAATATGTAGACATTCTACACTTATTTTTTGTTATATCGTAATTACGTGGTTGGTCAAGTTGACAGCCATACACAATTAGTGTTAGGGTAAAGAATGTAACAGATCAAATATAAATACTTTTTACTGAAAAATACTTTAAATATTCATGCAAGAAATTTTAGAGGTTATGTAAATAAAATATGAGAACTGTAAGATAAAAAAATAATTTTTAGTCTTAGGTTTCGTAAGTTCAGAGACAAATCTTTAGTGTTTCAATATAAACTATTAACAGCACAGTTTAAAATTCCCAAGCTAATATTTGCACTAACCCTAGAATTAACTTCACATTCTTCGAAACTATTTCCACTCTCACTATTAGTCACCCAAAAAATACAAAACAACAGATACCATCAGTTTGGCACATAATCGTAATTAGTAACTACTGCTTGGATCCCTCACGTATTTTACACAGAAAACGAGCAATTCCAGCCAATGTTTTGGTCAGTTCTTTTCACTGTGCTTTAAATGCAATAAGCAAAAACAAATTACTGAAATATCACAAAATATGTGGACTTTTCCAGTAGCGAGTGATATAAAAATGAGTTAAGCCTTGCTTACCAGTATCAGAACCTAATTTCCTAGCATGGCACAGAGATGTATAAAAATGAGTTAAGCCTTGCTTACCAGTATCAGAACTTAATTTCCTAATTTGGCACAGAGACGTATAAAAATGAGTTAAGCCTTGCTTACCAGTATTAGAACTTCATTTCCTAGCATGGCACAGAGATGTATAAAAATGAATTAAGCCTTGCTTACCAGTATTAGAACTTAATTTCCTAGCATGGCACAGAGATGTATAAAAATGAATTAAGCCTTGCTTACCAGTATTAGAACTTCATTTCCTAGCATGGCACAGAGACGTATAAAAATGAATTAAGCCTTACTTACCAGTATTAGAACTTAATTTCCTAGCATGGCACAGAGACGTATAAAATGAATTAAGCCTTGCTTACCAGTATCACAACTTAATTTCCTAGCATGGCAAAGAGACGTATAAAAATGAATTAAGTCTTACTTACCAGTATTAGAACTTCATTTCCTAGCATGGCACAGAGATGTATAAAATGAATTAAGCCTTGCTTACCAGTATCACAACTTAATTTCCTAGCATGGCAAAGAGACGTATAAAAATGAATTAAGCCTTACTTACCAGTATTAGAACTTCATTTCCTAGCTTGGCACCGAGACTGTGAAAAGACTTGAAAGGTCCTTGAATAAGTTCATCATAAGCAAGAACAAGAGGAGCCAGAACATCTAAGTATACAAGACGGATTAAAACTTATATTTAAATACAGGATTTTACTAACAAAGACTTAAATAATGTACTCTTACACAGATTTTTAACATGTTAAACAGGTTACTTTGAAAGTTTAAATTACGATTTCAGTTTTTAAATTTTGTCACTTAACAAAAATGACGTAAACAAGTCAATACACCCATATAAAGTTTTAACAGCTACTGGATTGTAGTATACTTATCTACTATCCAATCAATAACTTTCAAAGACTTTATACATGTTTGGTCATTCAACGAGTTCCCATCAAAGAGTTAATATGCTTGTTTTAATGCTTACGGCAAACTTTACAAGTTTTATAATTATTGAAATAGAAAAAGCTTTCTTAGTACCCATTTAGAGCACACAATGTAGTACATAGTTTGGGTGAATGTCATACTAATTATTTTATATAAACACAATATAGCAAGAACAGAGCAGCGTTTGTAAAGATGCACTGAAAGTAACAGAAGTCCAGCTTACTTATACAAAAGCCTATCTATACGATTTGAAAAATCAAGAATTAAGCAGAGGTTTCGTAAAAACAACAAGAATATACCGGGTTCAAATTATTTTTAACTAGTGACTGAATTATATGTGTAAACAGATAATGCTTGTGTAAGTATGAAAGCTAAAAAAAATAAGTATTACTTTCATATAAATTCATTCAAATTACAATATTTGATAAATGTAAGGTGCTATGGCATCTTGTTTCAACAACCAGTTGTCACATCAAATGTGATGTTCACAAGACTTGCATATACCCCTCAACTGGGCTTACTTGCAAACTACAACTACTATAAAATGCAAAAATTTCTGAGTATCAGCTTCGGAAAAAGATAGTTTTAACATCAGAGGGTGCTACCAACAAAATATTTCTAATTATCTTGGTCTAGCGACTGACCGAAACACCCTTCATAAGACCTAATAAATGAAAATAAATTTAACAAATATTCAGGTTGTAATAACCAGATTATCATTCTTATCACAAAAATATTTAAAAGGTCTTACAAACAAAGAAATCTAAAAACATTCTGATGAAAAACAAAAGAGATCATGTGATAATGTTACTACAAAACTACGTTAATCAATTATTTTCAACATTACTACTTCTACTGGGAAGATGAAGAAACACAATATTTTTACTGTAAATATTTATGTATTAGTGTGTACTAATTCAGGGAATTAGATTTTTATTGCCAACTAGTGGAAATTTAAAATGTTCTTTTGCTTATCTCTAAATTTTTACAAAAAAAAAAATTAAAAAAAACAAAACATTTCACTCAATGTTAGCTTTAGCACAGGAATAAACAGAAATTTCAAACACATATGTGATTGTGTAAATACTAATAAATATTAATATATACATATAAATGAACAAAACTAGTAAATGTTTTTCTTTCTTTAATGGAAACTCAATATTTCACTTTACGACTTCTTCACTAAACCAAATTGTAACAGCAGAAAAAGTTGTAAAGTGCCGAGCGTGTTAAAAAAAACAAAAACAAATTTGGTGCTAAAAAGTCATTTACTACAAGTATTAAAATGTCTTATCCTCCAATACACACTGCAGAAACTAAATAAAGTATAGAATTCATTTGTGATTAAATGTTTAATACCAGTATAGCCAAGAAAAAGAAACAGTAAAAATGAACTTCCCATTATGACAATAAACGTCAACCTCGATCCAGAGACGTTTCACACGTAACTGTTTATTTAAACAATAATGCAAAAAACTGTAAAACCAAAAGCTGGAAAATTAAACAAGCACATGTCAAACACTTTCATTTCAATCTCCCATTTTCATATATACAAGTCTTAACATTGTAACAAAATTAAAAAAAAAAAACATGTTATATTACCTCCACCACCTTCATTTGGTGATAGCTGTTGGTTTTTGTTAACTGCTTTTTCCAACTTTATTGCTACATTTTCCAACCTAGAAACCAAACTTGTCAAGTCCGCTGCCATATTTAAATTAGGCTCTGCAAGTGAAAACAGGAACAAATTTCAACAGGAATTACTCTGCTTTTGAGGAAGTAAAATTTTTAATAATCGCAGAACTTTTGAAATGAAAAACAATCAGTATCAAAATAAGTACAACTAAATCTTTTAGCTTGCAATCATTACTAAAAGAACATTTGTTTTAATAACTTAACATTAAGTAAAATCGTACAACACAACATATTAAAATTTCGTGTAATTTAAGGTAAAATACCTAGACATTTTGAAACAATTATAAGAAAGAACTAAGACTGACTGTTAAAAACTGATGCTCACTCACAACTTATTAATACTTGATAACGAAGAACTTTCCACCAAAATAAACATGCTGGTTCTTTAGTAACATCATAAGCAAGTGTTATTACAATTCCTCAATGTTTAATAATACTGAATGATACATCAGAAAATTGTACAAATAGTGCAAAAAGCTTGAAAGGATGATTTTAGAGAGCACAGGAGACAAATGCAAACACAGTCCACGGACAGGAAACGTTTACAAGTTTGACACCATATCGTAGGCCCTTCTCCTACCACTCTTGATTTAATGCAAGACTTCATGTATTATGCTCGACAAAAATGTTCAGTAAAATGCCAATGTGCTAAAAGAACATAAATTAAACAAATATATTTCATTAATTTTATTAAATAATTAGAAAATGAAACATTACAGATCATGTCTACTACCAATTTTTCACTAAAATTACATTTGTACGAGGGACTGAAAAAAAAAGTACAACATGTGGATTTGAAAGTACTTGATGTAACGGACACGAAACATGTCCCTTGTGTGATTTGATGACACGCATAAGTTATTTGTAGCACATAAACAATGATGAATTATTACTTAAAAAAAAGCATAGTCTGGTTGTATCTTAGCCAATTTTATGGACTCTTGCAAATACACCTGTTCCTATAGAAGTAATAAGTAACGTATCAAACAATTAACAATAATAAACAGATTGAAGCCTTTATAACATGGTTGGAATATATTAAGGTATGGTGTATCTCCAATAGTTAATATCAATTTTTAAATTTTATGTAAATTCTTCCTTTATAACACAATGATATGATACCATCAATATCTACAAACTTAAACCAAACACTTAAAATTCGTTATTCCAACAAAAAATGAAATATAGCTCAAAACTTCAGTTCTACTTTTAATCTTTATCATTATTTTATCACTCTGGTATACAACCTGAAAATTTATGCCAATACTGTGAATACCCTAGTTTTTGTATTTACTTTAAAACCCTGACAATGTCAGTTACAATGAAATCCTCTTGTGACCATTGTCACATTTTTATATTATCAATACTATTATTATTATTTATGTTTTGTGGTATATACATTATACCTAAAATAGACCTAAAGTTAGACCTGGAGCCTGAATTCTGCCCGTCTGATCTAGTACTTGTGCTGATATTGATAAGAAACACTACTGACTCTACACTACAGTGGTAGGTCTCATCCTTCGGTGACGCCTAATTTTCAGTTTTAGGTTTCACCTAGTTTTAACATTTACTTCGAACTTTCAGTAACTGTGAACTTCTGTTATACGATTAAAACTTATCTTACGTAAATAAACGAATTAAAGAAAAGGACTAAATGAAACACAAAACCTGTTAATTACTGCAAAAAAGGTCTTCAGTAATAATATTGGACTTTGATTCTTTCAACAAATAGTAGTCGTTAACCCTAACCAAACACAGACTATTCAGGACATACTCGTACCTTCCACTCCTTAAATTACACAGGAAACGCCGACTGCCGTTAGAATCAGAAATAGAATTTAACACCCCACTATGAATCACGATGTCTATTCTCGAACTCAGAAACTTATTTAACATCTCTTCCTATTGAAAGTTAAATTAAATTTCTCAAATAAATAATATATAAAACGATATTTAATCAAATTAATACGAAATAAATTAAGGTATAAAAAATTAGGTTATTTTGGTTTTATTTTATGGGTGTCAAACGTCGAAAGAATAAAGTAATTTGAGTTTTGAGAGTAATTGTTTAAATAAGAAAGATAATGAAGATCAGATGGTTTGATTATATAAGTGAAGACACAATATGGACAGTAATGAATACTTGAGAAGTCCCAGTTGTATAAACGAAGATACTATGGACATCTTCTAAGAACGAAGGAGAATGGGCTGATAATCAATGGCCTGGAGTTGCTAAAATCCGGGTTTCGATACTCGTGCTTGGTACAGTTTGAAATATATCTGAAACATAAAGTGACTAGAACGTTTGTCTAATCATTAACAATAGTCCCCATTTTGTCGTTAAACAAAAAATGAAATCAAAACACATCAAAGATGCACACAATACTTGAGATTTTCAAAGCCTAAAAGTAAGTATTTGATTCCCAAAGTTTCACGTTGTTACCTCTCAGATCACAAAAGATAAAGATCGTTAATGAAGACATTTTAGGAAAACCTCTATGGGTCTTACGTCTAATAAAATGTATAAATTACAGGTCACGTGCTGAAACATTACGTAGTTTAGGTAAATGTTCATAATGTTGCGTCAGCGAGGTCACGTGACTAGTGTCACGCCACGTTTCTAGAACTATCCTGTTCCTTCGGGAGTGCTCTAGCATTTGCTAGATTGGGGGGTGGTCTGGTATATATAAGATGGTCACGGCGTGATGTGACAATGTGTGTGTAGGTAGTGAGTAATTGATCTGCAGTCAGAAAGTATTGTTGAAGTTCGTTATAGCGTTTGTGATAGAGCGACTGTTGAAAATAAGTGTATCGGTAAAATTATATTCAGAAAGAGTAAACCAGTTTTATTAAGAAAGGACTTGTGTCGCTAAAGTTTAGTCGGAAAGAAGTTACAGAAAATTGATTAACGACTGGAGGCGTAACAATAAGTTTACCTTCAAAGAGAGGAGCCCCAACATTTCAAAAACATATCACAGATTTGAATGGGTAATAAAGAAAAACTTTAATAGAAGTTTAACATAACAGCAAATGTACAACGTTTCGACAAGGTTTTGTCATCATCAGGTACCAGGTCGAAACGTTGTACATTTGCTGTTATGTTAGACTTATATTAAAGTTTTTCTTCATTACCCATTCAAGCCGTCTCCACCCATTATTAGTATCAAAGTGGGTTCCTCGTCATCGAATTCGAAAATATCACAGATTTGTTTTGGCAAAAATTAGTACATTAAAGAAACTGAGACATACAGGGAAAATGTGTACGTCTTTTATACTGTTGTATGGGTTAAAAACATTAGTAAGTTAAAAACTCCACAGTTTAAGAACATATTTCATGTTAGTAAAAGTATTGGGATAATACACAATCAGCTAGTAATGCGCCTGTGTTAAAATAATTTCGATGTAAATCCCATGACATATGGCAGCCACAAACTACTATATTAGGTAAAGATGCTTAGAATAAAAGAAGTTTATGGTCCTTTAAAGAAAAATAGTTATTGGATATGGAATGGGTGTTCAAGGAATTGGAGATTATTAAATGTTCTATAACACGTAATATCGGCCTGATGACCCATTGGTTCATGCAAACTTTGAACTATGTTGTGAAAGGAAACCATACATTTGAAATGTAATCGATCAGCCAAGACTTAAATGAAAACTCGGGATTGCAGGACGTAACATCTCTATGTATATGACGCTTTATGCTGCTGAATTGCACGAAGGGGCTGCAGACCATAAGCTGCTCATTACAATCATAATCCATAGCATCATTTCTCAGGGTGAAATAAACGTCGAAAATGGGACAAAAAGCCATTAAAAACTACCATGTTGAGAGACGAATCTTCTTTTGTGATGAGCACGTGTAAGTTTAACAACGACCAGAAGAATGCTTTGAATATTATTGTCATTTCAGTCATGAGGAGTGACAAGGGTAATATTATGGTACGAGTCTGTTTACCTGGTTTGGACTTGGTCCATTGGTAATAATTAAATAACTCAGAAACGTTTTGTCGCACTGTGAGGTTCTTAGTAACGCTGAAATGGTGGTATTGGTAAAAATATATTGGTAAGAATCTTACTTCTTTCACCTTGATAATGTTGAAATGGTGGTATTGGTAACACATATAGGGGTAAGAATCTTACTTCTCTCACCATGGTAATGCTGAAATGGTGGTATTGGTAACACATATAGGGGTAAGAATCTTACTTCTTTCACCATGGTAATGCTGAAATGGTGGTATTGGTAACACATATAGGGGTAAGAATCTTACTTCTTTCACCATGGTAATGCTGAAATGGTGGTATTGGTAAAACATATAGGGGTAAGAATCTTACTTCTTTCACCATGGTAATGTTGAAATGGTGGTATTGGTGAAATATATATGGTTAAGAATCTTACTCCTTTTAACATGATAATGCTCCATACTATACCACCAGCTGCGTCCAACAGTAACTTGAGACAAATGACATCCAGAACCTGCTTTACCCAACTCATAGCCATGAACTGAACTAAACTTAATTGCATTATGGCTTTTTCAAAAATGTTAATTTATTAGAAGAGTTTATTCCATCAGATGTATACCTATGGTTAATGGCAAGTCATAGTGAGAGAATTCAAGTTTTAATTAACGTCAAAGATGAGACTAACCTCTATTGGAATGGAGTACCAGTGGTATTGAAGGTCTGCTATTCCAAAACATTTTTCATATAATTTAATTAATTAATTTGTTACCATTATTATTCTGTACAGATCAGTTGTGTAGATGTATGTTTTGGTATGTAGTAAAGACATAATACTCTCTCTCTCTCACACACACACATACATATACAAAATGATAAAACACTATAATCCGAGCACTTTCGAAAGTGTTTTTATCATTTTGTATCCAGACTTCTTGAACCTAGGTGTTTTTCTGACGTCATGAATATATATATTGTTATAAGCTAGATTTTTAATTGTGTAATTGGTTTGTTAGCTAGAGGGAGCTGCGAGTCGTAATTATGACTAGAAGATCGAAAGGTTTAATAATATAAGAATATAAAATTTCTAAAAAATGAGGTCAAGTTTTCTAGTAAATCCGACGATAGATTATAAATACGAGGTTCGAAGTTATACAAGCGAGTAGATTGTTTTATGTTATTCTTAGTACAGTTAGCGTGGCTGTAAACGTAGCCTACAACTTACCAGAGTTTAAATTCGATGACGATGAACCCACTTTGAGACTAATAATGGCTGGAGACGGCTTGAATGGGTAATGAAGAAAAACTTTAATATAAGTTTAACATAACAGCAAATGTACAACGTTTCGACAAGGTTTTGTCATCATCAGGTGATGTCGAAACGTTGTACATTTGCTGTTATATTAAAGTTTTTCTTCATTACCCATTCAAGCCGTCTTCAGCCATTATTACCAGAGTTTTTAATCTTGAAGTAAACAATAGAAGGTAAACTGATTTGTTGTCGTTACGTGAATTGGACGTTGAAATATATTCACCAAATAATCTAAAAGAATCAGGAAACGAAAGAATAAGGTTGCAACAATATATATATAAAAAGTTTTAAAACTGACTAGTGCCCCCCTCCCTCCTATCTTATGACAATTACAAAAACATATTTGTATCCCAAATTCTAGGTCATTTCACTCAAGTTTGACCCCGTGCTGGTCTATTGAGGGTTAAAATAGACTATCTCATGCACAAAACATGGCAAGAAAAAATATATATAATACTGCTATAAATAAGTAAATGTGATATAAATGTGTAAATGTGGTATAAATGTGTAAATGTGATATAAATGTGTAAATGTGGTACAAATGTGTAAAATTAATGAAATAAATATAGGTATAAGTAAATAAAAAATATAAAAAGATGAAAAAAGTAATCAGTAGTCCAAATTAGGTCCTTTGATCATAATGTCAAAATAATACAAGTCAGTCCATTCAGGCCATGTCAAGCTAAGCTACATAATTTCAGGTCATGTCAATTCATTGGTAGCAATCAGGTGAAGTCAGGTCAAGCATATCGTGCCATGTCAACCTATGTTTTAAATGTTCATATCTGTGATTAGATAGTAGATATTTAACCAAACATTAAAAACTGTTTGTTTGTTTTTGTTTTCAGGTCCAGTCATGGCTGAAGTAATAGCAGGATCATCGACTGGGAGCTCAGCTCGAACAGTGTTCCAGAAGATTTGATTCTTGGGAAATTGATTGTCGAATTGAAACCAATAACGGGTTTACAGTTGCCTACGAATGGGGACGTTCTACATTTCGTCATTTTTTTAAACTGGTGGTTCATTACTGAAAGACAGTCAGCGAGATTTTATCAGAGTGGTTATCTCAAAAGTGGTCATTCCATTGACAAACTCACAAACCTAATCAGCAGGTATAAAAACCTGCGAAAAAACAAAAGCAGAACAGAAGATATGATCATAGAAGAAAATATGTGACCACAGAAGAAAAGATATGATCACAGAAGAAAAGATATGACCACAGAGAAAAGATGTGACCACAGAAGAAAAGATATGACCACAGAAGAAAAGATATGACCACAGGAGAAAAGATGTGACCACAGAAGAAAAGATGTGACCACAGGAGAAAATATATGACCACAGGAGAAAAGATATGACCACAGAAGAAAAGATATGCCAACAGAAGAAAAGATGTGACCACAGGAGAAAAGATATAACCACAGGAGAAAAGATATGACCACAGAAGAAAAGATATGACCACAGGAGAAAAGATGTGACCACAG